TACTTTTTATTGCCAGAATGTTTGCCGTGTATTGTAAAGTTACGTTGCACAATATAAAAAATTAGTGCAACATTTCACTATGCTGTCAAAACCTGTAATATTACGGAAATAATTATGATGAACATCTATAGATGAAAATGTCAAAAAAAGAATCTTCTATTGAGAATTTTCAAGAGCAAAATTCTGCTTGATAAACTCTCACTTTGAAATTTAACAAGAATGAATGATTATAATAGAACTAAACTAACAAGAATTACTTTTTTTAGTAAAACTAAAATGAATATTTTGAGATTCAACAAATCTGGATATAAGACATTGAAAACCAATTATCATAATAACATGACCATTTAAAATGCCACAATAGTTAGGTAAGAATTCAGGAATCTATGATACCTGATTTACCATCTTGTGCTTGCTCATATGTAATCACATTCATATACTTTTTAACTTGTTCATCTGCAGATAATAAAATCTTATTTAATGTTGTAAGATTTGGCTCATTATTTTTTTTTGACCAAAACATAAATTTCCTTCCCAAAAGCGCACTTTCTTCTTCATTTTCAACATACTTGTCAAGGGTTACCAAATCATTTGTATTTGGAGATATATTTCAATCATTATTAATCGACTCTATTAAATCTGGAATATTGATATACTTTAATTCAATTATTGAGTAATTCACGTCTCCAAAAAAAAGATACCCGAATTTCAGAATTGTGTTTAGTAATCGATAACAATAAATCAAAAGGAGAAGGTAGATTTGGGTTTGTGGATCTGGCAACAACAGCTCAGTAACCGCTTGTAACACTGCCTTAGTCATAGATGATAACAAGGAGATTTAAAAAATGTTATCAGTGCTTCTTTTAAAACAGTTATGTCACTAAATTTAGGTTCTTTAAAAATAATATCAGTCAGTTGTAAAGATCCATTATCAGTTTGACTTGTTAATATTTTCTTTGGATTTTTCGGATGAAGTGAGATCTGGAAGAGTTGCAGAGGCAGATTCTTTCTTCCTTTTCTTCATGTCTTTTGTGGCTGTAATATTTGTGGTGTCTGTACTTTTCCGTTTTTCTCCTGTTGATTTATCCAACATTCGCATATTAATATTTATTCCATGCA